CGCCTCCTGAGTGAGGCAGAAAGCACCGGATTGGTTGGTCCAGCTGACGTGGAGGTTGTGGAGGAGGAGGAAAATGAAGAGGATGATCAGGAGCCTCCCCGGGACTTCCAGGGTCCTGCGGTGGTGGACTACGATGAGACGGGGCGGGGGATGAACATGAGGAGGCCTTCAGCTGCCATGTGGGGCCTCTTGGAGCCGCAGCTGGCCCAGGTGCTGCTGGACAGGTGAGTGGCTCGTCATCATCAGTCAAGTGATGAAGAAAGTGCAAAAATTAACCAGAAGTCTTCTTAGGATGGATCCACAGCTGGTTCAGAGTCTTCTGCAGAGAGTCGGACAGACGGGCCGGGCCCCCTCAGAACCAATCCGAGACCAAGATGCCCTCAGGTGAGAAAGAGGTCGGATGTCCACTACCATCCAATCAGAAATGGCTCCGCCCACATTCTCATCACCTGTTTCTTTTGTAGGCAGATGGTCACTAAAGTTCTGTCCAACATTGGGCCCAACCTATCTCCATCCATCAGAACCAGGAGGGACCTGTCCGTCAAAGAAACTGACCCTGTAAGCTCCGCCCACAGGAGAATTCGACGCTCCCTGGATGACATGGCTCCTCCTTCGTCACCTAGTGACCAGACCCCACTCCTCCGGGTGAAGAGGCTCGAGAATGAAGACGAGGAAGAGGAGAATCTCCGCCCACAAGCCATTGGGCTGCAGATGATGAAGCGCATTAATACCATGGCAACTGCTGACACGGAAGAAATGAATCATGGGAGTCACGGGCGCCACCGAAGAGCGGCCCTGACCTACGACCCCCAGGTCCTAATGGACCAGATCCTGGAGTACCTGAGGGAGTGAGAGGAGGAGGAAGAGACACAGGAAGACGAAGAGGACAATTGATGTTTATCTCTTTGAATCACTTCTTTAGTTTTGCTGCTTCTGTAAAAACTGTTTGTTTGTTTGTTTGTTGTGGACATCAGAGGAACTTGTTCCTCTGTTGTGTGTCGTGTTTAAAACTTCATTACCCATGAGCCCCAGCAGGCATTTCTGCACACGCCCAACAAATCTGTGAAAAAAATCCCCAAAAACTAAAAAACATGTTTCAATGTGGACCCCTCTGATTGGCTGAGTCCCCACAGCAATGGTTTCTGGGAGATGGAGTCAAACCTCTGCATGATTAGAGGCTTTGTTTGTTAGACAACATGATGGACAGCGTCATTAACCGTGGCAACAGCTTCTCTGCTCTGTAATTGGTCGCTTGTCTTGGTGTTTCTGTACTTGAGCTCGTTGCTGTGACAACTCGGCCCATCCGTGTCACAATAAGAAATAAAGGCTGTGAAGTCCAAGTTTGTGTTTGTGCTGCTGGTTTGTTGTTGTCCTTCTTCAGGGTGGACTCAGATGAGTCAAAGGAAACAGACTGCCGGCTTCTGTCAGCCCTCAGAGTTCAAGTCGGGGAGACTCTCAGTTACTAGAAACCGGATTCCAAAAAAGTTGGGACACTGAACAAATTGTGAATAAAAAGTGAATGCAATGATGTGGAGGTGCCAACATCTAATATTTTATTCAGAGTAGAACACAAATCACAGATCAAAAGTTTAAACTGAGAGAATGTATCATTTTAAGGGAAAAATCTGTCGTTTCCAAATTTCATGGCGTCAACAAATCCCAAAAAAGTTGGGACAAGTCCATTTTTACCACTGTGTGGCATCCCCCCTTCTTCTTCCAACACTCAACAGACGTCTGGGGACAGAGGAGACCAGTTTCTCCAGTTTAGAAATAGAAATGCTCTCCCATTCATGTCTAATACAGGCCTCTAACTGTTCAATCGTCTTGGGCCTTCTTTGTCGCACCTTCCTCTTTATGATGCACCAAATGTTCTCTGTAGGTGAAAGATCTGGACTGCAGGCTGGCCATTTCAGTACCCGGATCCTTCTCCTACGTAGCCATGATGTTGTGATTGCTGCAGAATGTGGTCTGGCATTATCGTGTTGAAAAATGCAGGGTCTTCCCTGAAAGAGATGACGTCTAGATGGGAGCACATGTTGTTCTAGAACCTGAACATAGTTCTCTGCATTAATGGTGCCTTTCCAGACATGCAAGCTGCCCATGCCACAAGCACTCATGCAACCCCATACCATCAGTGATGCAGGCTTCTGAACGGAGCGTTGATAACAACTTGGGCTATCCTTGTCCTCTCTGGTCCGGATGACATGGCGTCCCAGTGTTCCATAAAGAACTTCAAATCGTGACTCATCTGACCACAGTACAGTCAAAGGTTTGTCTTCAGTAACACTGTACAGTCGTAGGTTTATCTTCAGGAACACAGTACAGTCATAGGTTATTGTCTTCAAGGACACCGTACAGTTGTAGGTTATTGTCTTCAGGGACACCGTACAGTCGTAGGTTTGTCTTCAGGGACACCGTACAGTCGTAGGTTTGTCTTCAGGGACACTGTACAGTCGTAGGTTTGTCTTCAGGAACACAGTACAGTCGTAGGTTTGTCTTCAGGGACACCGTACAGTCGTAGGTTATTGTCTTCAGGGACACCGTACAGTCGTAGGTTTGTCTTCAGGGACACCGTACAGTCGTAGATTTGTCTTCAGGGACACGTACAGTCGTAGGTTTGTCTTCAGGGACACTGATTATGGTGTTTTGTAGCTCTGATAATGTCGGCTCCTCATGTTGAGTCGTCAGTTCATTTTTAGCTTTCTTCACGTTCTGTTTAACTGGCGTGCTGGGTGTTGAGTTTCATTCACCGTTATTTTCAGCCGGACTAGCGTAGGAGTGCATTTCTCTAACAGTTTTTTTTCTTTTGTTGTTTCGGTCTCCATGTCTTTAAGCTGAATCAAGTTAGTATTCTTTGGTTAAATCATTTTTCTAGTTAGCTGATGTACTATGTAGCTCTTAGCTAGTCGGTTTGGAGCGGGGTAATTTCTTCTTGTGGGGTAGTTCGGGGTAGTTCCTTCTGGGCTGGGGAGATTACTCACGGTCTTCTTTATTGTCTTTGTGACTGCTGGTGACAATTAGTGTCTTCTTGGGTTAGTTGTACAGATACCGCTTCCACGTTAATGTACATCTGATCTCATCATTATCTTAGTTCGACCAGTCACTCCGTCATGAGCTGCATCATGCTAACAGGAAATCACTCTGTCATGAGCTACCTCATGC